ATGAAGCTGAAATGGCGTCTTGGGGACGATTGTAACAATAAGTAAAGGGACGATTGTAACAGCTGAAAATAAATAATCTTATGTTTACAAACCATTACTTAACTCTTTAAGAACCACCAATAGTTTCCTCTATATCATTTATAATGTTGCATGTGCATTATTTTATTTGACACCTTTCACAGCATAATTTGAAATTTTTTAACCCCTTAAAGTTAAAAGTTTAACCCTTTAGATCTCTGCTCATTATTATTTTTACTCCTAAAATATCACTACTATTTTCATCAGTAAAAAAATATATCACAACTATGATAATATGTATAATTATCTATGTTTTAGCTGAATTCATGGACTGTTACAATTGACCCCGTAAATGGGGACAATTGTAACAAGTGCACGACTGTCAAAAATTTTTAATAACTAATATAATAACATTTATAATAAGGTATTTATTTTTTTTTCTAGTAGAGGATAGTCTACTTTTCTCGTTTGTCAATTGATACTAATAATATATTGGATTTTTTGTTAGTTAAAAATAGTTAAGTAAAAAATTTTACAATTGACCCCACTCTCCTCTACATAGTGAGGCAAAGATATAAAAATAAAAAAAAAAATAAAAAAAAGCGAGTCCCCCTGAATAACTTTTGATCTTATGATCTTCTCGTTTTAGGACTCAATGTTAATGGTTCGAGGGGGTGACATCAAATATGCTAATTAATCTGCATATACGTTTTTCAAGTCACGAAATCAGACCCAAAAAACGTTTTTTCTCTGAATAAACATACCATTTTTTTAACGGATTACGATTTCAGAGCTCCAAAATATAAAATTATGCGCCATTTGGGAAAGATTGTACCAATGACTTAGTCAGGAGAGCGATCCAAAGTTTGGACTCCTTAATCTTTCGCCGTATCTCAAAATCTTTTTAAGCGAATTTAAAATTTTTTAGACATAATTATAAAATTCGTTCATCCAAAGGTAATTCCATGAAAAAAAAAATAACTTTTAGTAAATTTTTATTATTTTTAATAATTTAATAACAGTCGAAAAATATTTTAAATTGTAAGCTACGCAATTTTTTAATATCATTTTAAAGAACGCAATTTTACATGGAAAAACCACAAAATTTTTGTGAAATCGGTCGAATGGTCCCGAAGAATTAAATTTTAAAAAAAAATGGTAATTATATCATGCCAATCATACCATATTATATCACGCCAAACCTTTTTGATCATCGACCCCTATATAATTTTCAAAATCTCCATCGACCCCGACAAAAGTAATTTTCTGTTAATTAAAATAAAACTCTATTAGATACTGTGTTTGTACATTTATTTTATGATTTTAAACATTTATTAAAGTAATAGTACATAGTGTAACAATAGTTTTATGAAAAGTATAGTAATATTAAAATTTAAATACCTTATTATTAAATAATAAGTAATTATGCATAAGTAGATATAATAAGTAAAGTAACTAAAGATTTACTGCTTCTTGATCAATGAGATGTGTGTGCCTGGTGTTTTTTTGCAAGGTTCGCTATATTGGGTTCAAAATTGGTCAATTTTAATTTTCGTCAAAATTGGTCAATTTTGTAATTTTCGTAAAAAAATACAAATTGTGCTATAGTTTTGTCGCGGGCTGTACTAATCCATATTATTAATGCTTACCTTCTTTTTGGGGCATTGATAATTCAAATTGATATCTAAACCAAACGAATGGTTTCATCGAAACAATAATTATCCAAAACAATATAAGTTTTAATAATGACACTGCAAATATTCAACACAGTTTGCAAAGATAGCTGAAACTGCTTTTGTCCAAATGCTCGTCACACGTGACATTTGGACAAACGCACATATGCATATGACTTATAAACTGAGCTGTGTTCGCGCCACTGTGCGGTGGTACGTAAATACTTGTTTCACCCCAATAAATATACGTTTATTAATTTATGTTTTATAAAGAAACTGATATTGATTCAATTATAAAAAAAATTCACAAATTTTACATTCTTAATTNATTTTAAAAAATGTTGTAAGAGCTAATCATTAAAGTAAGCTATGCAATTAATAAATAAATTAACAAAGGATAACTAAAAAAACAAATATATAAAAAACAAATTACAAAGGATAACTAACAAAAATTAAGCTAACAATTAATAATTAGCACAAAAACTAGTTAACAAGAAATCACAAAAAAATAACAGTTAATAATTATAGAAAACAAGCTAACGATTAAAACCTAGCAAAAAATAAATAACTGTTACTAACAAATAAAAAATTGGTCGAAAGAAATAATTATTCCCTTAATAAATATGCTTTTGTAGTACAGATTATTTTATTTCACATTCAAAATTATTATGACAAACTATTTAACACAGTGTAAAATAGGTAATTAAAAAACTTTTAATCTAATATTTTTCAATCTGTGCGTTTGTTTCATGGTCATTTCGAAATCGTTAAAAGTGTGCCACAACAAAAAAAAATGTTGAGAATCACTGCCTTAGGGTATTGTATTATGGCATGTTAACTTTACTTTCCAGTTTGTTTTCGTTGCTAAATGTGTAGTTATAAAAAGTATAAATTTGAAAACCAGAATTTCCGTTAAACCATTACCATATGAACGGGGTTTAAAATGACGGTTTTATTTACTTCGGTTTTATTTACCAAAAAGTATGTTTTTTCCATTCTATCTTTCTTTTCTTTCTTTTTTTTAAGTCAGAAAAATTTTTACAATATAGTACCAGAAATTTTTTTCCTCCGTATAAGTTAGTTGCTATCTTGGTAACCAACTAATCCCCCCCCCAACTAATTTAAAAATATTTGCGTTTATCAAACAATTTTTCTTTTTTTGAATTTTAACCTATATTTTTTTTTTTTCATTTTCGGTTTATAAATTGTTTTAATTTTCACGCATTGAATCTGTCTTTATATCTTCCAAAGGGGTTAGGGGACGCAAATAACATTTTTGTTTTATTAAACTATTTTTCATAATTAAGCTCCCGCATGAATGCATGTAAGGTGGCCACTTGATAAAATCTTGTATTTACTTCCATGTTTTTTTGCTCATATTTAATTTACTTTACTATGTTTCAATTTAATAATTCAATTTTAGTTCTCTAATCTCTATTTTAATTTTTATTTGGAACTCAAATCGTCTGATATAGTACCTTTCAAACGCACTTTGCACTGTAAAAATTAAGGATCAAATTACGGTAAAAAGTATTATTACCGTAAAATCACTGCAACATTTTAATAAAATAAATATTACTGTAAAATTTACAGCATAATATTTAATAGTAAAAATGGATTTTACGGTAAAATGGATTTTATGGAAGTGCGGGTACTTTGTACCGTAATTTAAACCGGAATTTTTACTGCATACTCAGGGTGTTACAACAATTGTTTCATGACAAACAATTTTAAAAACACTATATTTTGTTTTAAAAAAGGCAGAATTTAAATTGGTTATTTCAATTTTAAAAATTGGGAGAGATAAAAATGTTTATTACCAACTCTCTTTGCATAAAATAAAATATTCTACAAAATGGAGTAAAAAATATATTAAATATTATTTTCTATGAGAGAAAAGTATGAAAATAGTTTCTGATTAGTTAACTGTATAAAAAAATAAACTTAACAAAACAGCCGTTGTGTCTCAGGTTATACAGCGTAGGCCTTCCAATGACGTGAACCGGGTTCGATTCCAAGAGATGACTGGTCTATATGAATTCCCCTCCCGGCTTGCATCGACCAGAGTACTGACGTAAAACATTCTCAGTGGTAGACGGATCATGATTTAGAGGATTTAAAGGCTTGACGGCAAGAGGTTTAAAGTCCCCTTACGGTCAAGCTAACCGTGGGTGGTTTTCCTCTCTATGTAAGGCAAATGCGGGTTAGTTCCATCAAAAAGTCCTCCACGAAGGCAAATTTGTTCCGAAACATGATCCAGGAGTTTCTTTGTCTTCTGGATCGGGTTCAAAATTACGAGGCTGTTCAATGACGGCTATAAAATATAAAATAAAGAAACTTAACAAAAATTAATTAATTGCGCTTACCAATGGATGATGAGGGTTGTATGACTTTTCCAGTCAATTCTTCTCTCCAAGATATTACGGAGACATACTCTTCCATAAATCCGGGAATGTGACACCTCAGTACAGCAGTACTGCCCACCGTTACGAATTCATCATACACCTCAACAACATAATGCTGGCTCACAACTGAAAAGGAAAACGCTCATTTAAAATCACAAAAAAACCTTTACATAAGATTAGTACAACCTTTAAATAAGATTATTATGAATATCATTCCACTTTAGTTTACACAAATGTAATCTTCCTCTCTATTCTCCCAAATTAGATCTGCATACAATGCATACTGCATACAATGTAATCTTCCACTCTATTCTCCCAAATTAGATCTGCATACAATACCTGGTCAAATTATTCGACGCATTATTAGATTCTACGTAAAATTATTAGATTATTAGATTCAATAAATCAGATAATTATCAATTATTAGATTCTATGTAAAATCTTAATTGACAAGTGATACTACACAGCTTTATTGTTTTTAATGTGACTGAAATCGGTTTGCACTCGTTTATGCTCGTGCAACAATTGGTTACATTAGACGATATATAATACAAATTCGACGATTGGACAAATTAGACGATATATTATATAAATATAGAATATTTATTATATCAGGTACTATATTAGTATACTATAATAATTAGACAAAATTTTTAGACGCCCTGTAGTAATGAAAATAAAATAGGAACGTTTATTTCTGGATGAGAGGAAATATTCAAATACGAATACATCAAAATCAATCTATAATAATAAGACAATATAGAAAGTAGAACAATTTACGACAGTCACAGAACGTAAAGATCAAGAAAACTAGGTTCTATTTTCAATATATCAAGAAAGAGAGAATTTTATTTTCCACCTAAAGGGCATAGATAAGGGTTGAACAAAGAAAAATTTTAAATTAAATTTTTATTGACATCACTCGAATAACTAAAATTAAATGAATTTTTATTCTTTCTTTGATATACTGGCTAACATATTCACGAAAACTCGTTCATTGTAATGTAATAGATTTTATGAATTATTAGACGCACTATAAGATTCTATGTAAAATCTTAATTGTCAGGTGATACTATGCAGCTTTATTGTTTTTAGCAACTGAAACCAGTTTGCACTTGTTTACGTTCGTGTATCAATTGGTAAAAGGCCTGTTTATACGATCCAAATTCTTGGACGAAGATTGAAATTGATGGAAGTTTGTTTTGCTTGGTCCAGATCCTTGGACGATAGTAGAGCATGTTCTACTTTCCATCCAAGTTTTCTCTCCCTCAACCAATCAGCTTCTTAAGTTTTGTGACGTCAACAAGCAGGCATCGGATTACGTCATTTTGTTGTCTATTTTCATATATTCTAGTCCAAATAAATTAATCTGTTACGGACTACTTATGTTATTATGATTTTATTTGAATTTATTTAGTAATTTTAAATCCAAGTAAGTAAGATTTTATAATGTTGATTATCAACAATGCGCATGCGTGAGTTTTTCTTCTGACCAATCAGTGACATACAAGAAATCGGACAATATCGACGAATCAGCTAATTTCTTGGAGAGAGAAATTCCTCCAATTTCTCGGACTCAAGAGCTTAAACCGCGTAAGCAGACCTTTACATTGGAATGCAATACGTTAAAAATAAATACAAATAGGAAGTATATAAAAAATTTCCTGACTAAAAACCCATTACATGCATGTTTAAATATAATTTGCCCTATAAACTAGGGCAAAACATGTAATTACAAAAGAATTACAAATCGTCTTATAATTTGGTCTAAATATAATAATATACTAATATAATACCTGTTATAATAAATATTTTACATTTATATAATATATTGCCTAATTTATCCAATCACCGAATTTATATTATATATTGTCTAGTTTAACCTAATGATACATTAACGTAAGCAAGTGCAAACCAGTGTCAGTCACGTAAACACAATGAAACTGTATAGTGTCACATGATAATTAAGATTTAACATAGAATCTTATAGTGCGTCTTATAATTTGGGCAGAGACTGTAAATTAGTTTACACACAAATTAGTTAATCACAATAATACATACAAGGAGAAAAAAAATCAGAATCATTCTACAAAAAATCCTGCACATTCAATTCGCACATCACAAATAAGAGAAAACTACTGTAAACATTGCTTTTTTTTTATCTTAGCAGTCGCGTAAGTTAGTATTCTTTTTATTTTTGTTTAAATGTGTTTGAAATTTATAATAATCAGTAATTAAAAATATGTCTACAAAAATATCTAATCTGTTTTTTTAGATCATCACTGGTCACAGATTGTACAATTTTAAGTTCTATAAACCGCAGTTTTTTTTACCAATTTTATATAGACGGAGAAAAAAATTCTGGTAAAATTACCACATGTATGGGGATGACATTTCCGGTAAAAAAAATCAAGTTAATAAAATAAAATATTAGGTATTTAAATCATTTGTTTGATCTATTTTCCATTCATGCGTAAACGGTTTACCGGAAATTTCTGTTTTCAAAATTACAGTTCTGACTCTCGAACATTTAGTAAAAAATACAAAATTGAAAAGTAAATTCAACCGAATAAAAGATTTTTGTGCCATGCTCTAAGATATCATTATAGAATTACCAAATTTCATCTCGTTCTATTAAACGGTATTTTACTTTTATTTTTTTTTACAATATTTTTATTACTTTATTGTTTTTATTATTTTATTACTTTTATTTTTATTTTAATTACCCAAGTGCTTAGGTAAAAAATAACGAGCTTTTTTGTGTTCCCATAGAGCAAAAAACACCAAAATTATTTTGGTAGTTTTGACCATAATTTTTTCTCAGTGCATTTATAATTTTGGAACTCCGATAGTAGAAGTAGCGCAGCGCCTTAGCGAGCCTACTACTATAATTTAATTTGCTAATATTTGATAGTGTTTAAATATATATCGTCTGTAGCGGTGCAAAAACAATTGGCATAGGTTTAATCAAATCAACAAGTACGAAGTGTCTGCTAAAATGTAAAGATTCTACCCCGCACGAAAGTTACCTGAAGTTTGATTGCCATACTATTTGGTGAATTTATGACAATAAATTTTATTTTTTAATAGTAAAAAAAAAAAAAAAAAACTGTAAATCAACTGAAACTTAAATTATAGTTCGTTCACCAGGAGTTGGCACTTAGCTCTACCTCCTCGGACGCAGACTTCATTTCAGCGCGGAAGTAAGAGGAGAAACAACTCCGCACTTGAAAATGAGACAACCCTTAATGCGCGCCAAACGCAAACAGTAAATTATTTTTCAGTCATTTACTCCGCTTTATCATCTGCTATAATACCTTTCATTACTCTAGCTAGATAAATATATTTTAGATTTAAAAACTGCTGTTTTCACGGCAAAATGTCTCAAAAAGGGCAAACTATTCACTCAAAAGAGAGAAATATCATCCAATTTATGAAATATTTAATGTCAAAAAAATGCACATAAAACTTGCGAAATAAATATTTTTTGTCATACAATAGCCAAATAGCAAACTTGTTCAGGATTGTTCACATCCTTCTCCCAAAAATAGCGAAATAGCATCGTCGGATACCACGTGATGAAGGCGGAGCCAAGTGCCAACTCCTGCTGAACGAACTATATCACCAAAACCCAAACTAAAGTTAAACTCTGAGTGCTTTAGCAAATCCAAAAGTGGTCGAAATTGTGGCCAAGACCTTACAGTTAATAAAAAGGACCATTTTGCAAGCTCAAGTACTAAGTACCTAATGTTTTTTTTTTAAATTATACAAACTAATTTCTCACAAACATAATAAAAACAACAAAACCGTTTATTATGGTTTTGTTTTCGAATTCTTCAAAAAGTTTTAATTCTTGTACTTGAAAACACGTAGTTAATCACAATGACACTAGTATGTGATGATTTTGTTGGGGGAAGGGGGCAGGCAACAACGGCAAAGTACTGAAACTCTTTCTAAAAATACATTTGCAAAGCCATTATCATAAACCCGTAAAAGAAACAAAACGCATTTCCAAAGGACTCCATACAGATAACATCATTAGTAATTGTCTTTGAATAGTTGGGTCAGATAAGAGAATCGGCACAAAGGGAAAATTACTGGGAAAATGCAGCTCTTTAATAGCGAATGAAATAATTTTTTCTTTCATTTTGTTGAGAGGTTAAAAACAGATATTACAATCCTTTTATGTATGGAAAATAAATTTCTAGTCCATTATGCGCATTATTACTTTAGAACGAGCGCTTCCTCCTGAAAGAAATTAAAACCGATAAAAAAAAATTCTGCAATTTTTAATGAATGAAATATCTTTTTCAATTACTGTTTTCATTTTTAAAACATATGAAGAGAGTTAATGAAAGTATAGTGTTTTTTTGCAAGGCACTAGATGCTGTTAGGTTTGTATTACCCACATTTTTAATTTTAAAAAATTAAACTATGCTTTTTTTTTAAAGTTTTAATTAAAAATGTGTCATACATGGAAATTATAAAGCTAAACCGATTTATTTTGTACAGAACGTTGCTTTTAACGTGATAAAACAAAGGTTTAAAGTCAGTTTATATCTCTTTTAATCTTCTTTAAATTGTTCTTACTTTGTTCTTATTTATTTATTTCGAAGTTGTTGTTCTTTTCATGGTTAATACTTCTTTTTCATCCTTTTAAAAGCTGAGTAAATTGCTTAGGGGTTAAGCCCTTTAACTATGATTGTGCGGTTAAAGTTACAAGAAGGAGCATCAACTGGAAGCCAGACGGTTTTTTCTCTCCCTGCTTTGCGAACAAGCATTAAAGAATAAATTTTTATAAAAGAAACAATAAAAACAAAATTATGTACGTCGCTTCAGTATCACTGTTTGGGTTTAATTTTCCTTGTAGGAAAAGATGATAAGTGACCTTTATTTAAATTTGAAGCACTTATTTAAAGAAATTTAAATTACAAAACTGCTACTCATGGTTTTTCAAATTGCCCCAGCAAAATTTGTTGAAAAGTTTTTTTTTTTTTTCGTTTACAATTTTAAGATATTCAAAGAATAACTTTTTTTTTTATAACCGTCGTTTAATTTTATTGCACCAACTAAGTCCACCTAATGAAGCAACTTAGTTCCTTGAAACTACATGCATATTATAGCCG